ATGACATTTCACATTAACATAGGCAACGATACTACAGTGCCGAAGCTCTTATTCCACGTGTCAGCAGATCGACCTCGCGGTATGTTTCCATGGTAAATAAGTCTCCCAATAAGCATGGTAAAATCCCTTTTCCCATGATCTGAAGATGGGATTATTGCTCTTAGGCATGAAAGCAAAAGATCTTAATGGTTTCTACTTATGATACCAGAAGTGTAGAATTATGATATCTTCTACGCGACTGATAATCCAGATGTATGAAACTCTGTGTATTAATCTTTCAAAAGTTGCATGTCATTTTGTTCGGATACTGAACTGCAGGCGATCATTGTCATAGCCATTAGTTGAAGTGAATGGGAGGCCATATAAGGTGTTATTTCAATTCCAGCGAGCTGTAAGCGATCGTTTGTTACGGTTCGCACTTTAATACCGGTATAATTTATGAAAAGCGGTAAAGGATCATAAGATAGAGGTCGTTTATCAGGGTGAGTGCTTTTTGCAATAACGCCACTGTACTCTCTGCCTGACTTTCGCGCAGATGTCACGGCCACGCGGCACGCGCTCATTGCTGCACCTTTTCCGCTCTTCCCGCCTTCCCTTCGATCGCCTATTGTATTTTCTCAGGCTGATTGCTCGCCTGAGAATCTCTGGTTCAGGCTTGAGTTTGCTACCCATCAATCATCAACGACATCCGGCGTCGTAGAGTCACGGAGTACTGGTGTTCCGCCAACGCAATGATTAAATGCCACACGAAGAATACATGGAGAGCAATGCCTCATTGAACCGAACGCTTTATTCATCAGTTATTTGTACTTAATCACTTTATGTAAATACCATCTTCTGTTCGACATGTCATTAACTTAAAAGATACATGACAATACGCGTGTAAGTACTTGGCAAGTATTTTGTGAGTTCATTCACGAGTAAGATATAACATTATTCAAATTGCACGCAGCGCAACGGTATTGGTCCAGGACCAAGGTATCAGCAGTTGTTTCTAGAATTTCTCAACTGCATACAGCATGCTGCACTATAATATAAGATAATCAAGATGTAATTACAATGTCTTTTGCTTTTTGTTTGAAGTGTACACAAGTTACGCCAAAACAGAGTGATACAACTTCATTCATTAGGTTCATGTCGTTCGACCTTAACTGGATGAAGCGTGTTTTGGCAACTAGCGCTATTTCTCGGATACGCGTTTGTCTGTGGACTTTTTACACGTGATAGATGTCTTGCTGAAATTCTGCTGAATCCGATTTTAATCGTGCACGAGTCAGTGAACGTAGCTTTAGATCTCTACGGCTTTTTCGCGTGCAGGTCAATTAGAATCGAATTGAAGGTATTCCTCACAAATATAGTACTGTTACTGTTGTCAGTAGCGGCAGATACTTCGATAAGCTACTGTTGTTAAAATACCGCTAATACGTAGCCAGTGTAAGTGACTCCATTACCGTGGCAGCTGTGATGACAGTTTAGCAATTCTATGTAAAGCGGTACGGTTGTGCGCCCCTATTAGATTGTTTGCCTTTCAAATGTAGGTTTCGTGAACGCACAAAAAATGACTAGCCTATAGAAGATTTTTTTTGAAATATCATTTTCAACACATGCAGAAGAAACATATGCCTTTATTCAGTGAGTTAAAGATCATTAAAACCATTCTCTCAAACTGGATGGATCATTGGAATTCTTTGACCATAAATCACATTGGTGCCACGTCAAAAGTCATTTTCAATAAAAACAGCAGAGAATTTTAGAAGATTTGTTCTGCTTTGAAAGCGGTAATTATGTCTTCGTCGAAAACTCTAGCAAAAACCTTGTTCAGAAACCAGACGGCGCTGCAATCTTGTCCTGTTTACGTGCCATGCATCGATTTTTTCTCTTATCTTTATTCGAAGAAGCCACTATTTAATATTATATAAAAAGTGGTTGAAGCGACATTTAAATTTTGTACAGGTTATTTCAAGACCACTACCACACAATCAACTTTGTTTACTACCTAATCAGTGGCAGGCTATTAAGCTGATTAATTATTCAACTTTCAAAGTAAATTTGAGCGCATATTAACCGATTTATTCTGCACTGCCGAAAAAGGTACATTTTTAGTCTCTAGGCCGGTTGCAGGTGGTGACGTCTAAACGGTGGACTTTATCAATGATCTTTGTTGAAGTCTGAACAGATTATCATTAATTACTTTACTTTGTTCAGATCTTAAAGCTGACAATTCAAGTCAGTCCTCTTCTTTAAATGGTGATTATAGAAAAAGTCGTGCCTATGTCTCGTATGTGACAATCTATGATTTCTTATGTTTGTTGCTGTAAAATATCAATATAACGAATTTGATCAGACAAATTTCCGAGAATTCAAAAGCGAAGAATCTCAGTGATTCGCAAAGCCATGAGTCAACGCAAAATATTGGTCATTGGAGATACGCCTTGCGCTGATCCCAAGGTAAAGCGCAATCACGATGGGCGGTTCCATCAGACAAAATCGCCATGCACCTCGGCAGTTTTGGAGCAAGCAGAACAGAACATCATGATGTCCCCTTTATTCGCAAATCATTGAACTACCGCCCATTGTTCGAAAAAATGTCGTGTTAATTCGTTGCTAAACGGAATCTACGATTAGCCCAAACATTATTCTTAGACAGAGTCTAACCCTCCATTTCCGGCGTCGAAATTCGACCTCTCAGTCTCTCTGCCACTACACGCTCAAGATGATGCGATAATATCATTATCTTACCAGATTCAGTGATGAGTCAATTAAACCGCTTATGCCGCATTTTATTGATTGTTGTTTATTTACTGATTTGCGCGGTGATATGGGCTGTTCTGAAGTTTGTGAACCGTTCTCGTTTTGACATTAACAACAGAAACTACAAAACTGCACTCAGATATCACATGTCAAATGAACCACTCTTTAACTGCTGCCGCTGTTATGCATCGTTCGTTTTCGCTAGATGACTCCAATTTCGAACTGGACGGCGTCTCGCTTAGAAGGGTATTTTCTTCATGAGTCTTGTACTCTCCTGATGGCCTTTTGCGGCAGTTGTACAAACACAGCGCGAGAAAACAAACCACCAACGCCAGAGCGGATGCCATCAGAAACGCTGAAGCAGAAAACGTTGAAATGCATGATTTGTACACGTTTACTGTCCGTACTTTGGTAAAGCATCGATTCTTGCTTTATTGGTGTCACCATGAAATCAAAGGCCACCGGTTCCTTCCACAAATTCATATCTTTTGTCTGATTATGAAAGATTTTCCCCGATTTATCAGACAAGTAACATTTCCTTTGAAAAACGATGGCATCGGCGAAATTCATCTTCCTTTGCTTCAATGGAAACACAGATTCACCTAACTGAAATCGCGATATGCAACCAGTGAATAGCGATGAACCATCTAAACGGTTAACAGGTCAGAAATCGTTAGATGTTCATAAAATTGAGCATAATCACCATTACTCAGCTGTATGAATACTGAGACAGACATTATAAAACAGTATTATTGCTATATTTTCATATTGTACCACTTATGATGCATTGTTTCGCTACTTTACTTGCAACCTCAATTACCCTGTTGGTAACGTCTGAAAGGACAACTGGAGCTTACGGCTGTAAAAATAGTCACATATGCTGAGCACTGGCACCCAGCAGGGATGAGTGGTTAAACGTCTAATTGGAACTTCTCAACGAGTGCACTTTACTACTTCAGGTCCATTCGTATTCTGTTAAGCACGAACTGTGACATTCATAAATGATTTTTCTCTATATATGGAAATTGTATGGAATTCTGAGTGATTTATGTATAAACAACTGAATCTAGAGCTTCATTGGCAGCCACAACACTGTTGTAGTTATGTTATGCTAAAAGTTATGTTTCCATGAACCGGCCGTGATAGCGACGGACAGGAAAAGTGCTGGAGATGAAGTCGGAAAGGCTCTAACTTTTGAAGAATAAGTATAAAAGAGTTATCATAATCCTTCTCTGAGGAGAAACTTTGGACTTTTGTTATGCAGCGCGTGCCATGTAATTCAGAGTGGAAAGTAACTTGGTACGATCGGCAGCGGCGTGTTTCATCCTCACATAGAGGCAAATCTTTAAGGGTCTGACGGCATGAATCCTCACTATAGCAGACCCACTCAACGGACTGGTACACTATGAAAAGAATTAACGGATCGTATTTTTGGCTTAGACAGAAAGCGACAGAGGGCAAGGTGCTGACGGACTGTTGCTCAATGTCGAAATATTACAAATTACTACAAACTGTAATAAGAACGACTCGTGTATCGCTGCTGGTAGCACGTCGAACTTTCCTCTGTTTTTATTATAACAGTGCATAGCGTTACATAACATTGTCCCTGGCGTTGTCGGCCAGGATTTTGATTGCCTCGAAGATATATGCAAAGGATTGAACATTTCGGAGC